CTTGTGTAGCGAACTGGTTGTATGAAAAATATGCATTGAAAAAGAAATTTTTATGAAATAGTCTCTGTCCATGCACACTTCACTTAGGGCTTCAAACTTTGTGTTTTCTAAAACGTATGAATAAGGACATGCCATCTGTCCAGATAATACGAACCTCATACTAAGTTTAAAATATTCTCTTTATGATCTCCAACCAAATAGAAGGAAAGAAACGGCAACTATGTTATGGCAATATGCATGATTCATTAAATGGTGTTTTTCTGATGTTGTTGCAGATTTAAGCATCTGTTACTCCAAGAGCGGTGCTTTTTTAAGAACCCAACTCTATTAAAAGTAGACCTCCTTAGAATATGTAGTTTTTCTATGCATGGTAGTTCATACATGACAAATGTCTTTTTTTTTCCCCCTAAGCCTACATGACAAATATCAAGACAAGAAAATTTTAGAAGCTAGGATCATTTAAGCCATGACCTTCTCTTTATGCTGATTATGATCCATTTTCATGATGTTGTAGGGTAATGGTGGTCTCGATTACAAAGAAGCTTGCTCCAGTTTGTTAAACATTTAATGGTGGCACAAAGGAAGATAGGATCTCTGACACGGTCAAATATATTTGTCCCAGAAATCTGGCACTTCAGTCGAGTACACAGATTGAAGGAAAACTGTTCAACCCAGTGGCCTGATGGATATCCATGGTTGTGAGGACCGGTTTTCTTTTTCCATTTTTCCAATTTTATATTTCCATTCATTTTGGTGTTTGGGCCGTGTGGGCCCCGGTTCGGTCAAGTGCTCGGGAATTTTCCTGACACTTTTCATTTGTTCCATTAGCGTCGCATTTATCATTCACGACATTTATGGGGCATTGCATTCACATGGGTGTATTTATTTTATCATTGGGTGTTTTTGTTGCATTTACTTAAAGGTGGATCCCACTTTGATTTGTTAACCATTATTGTGTGCTGGAGAGTGTGCAAAACTTGTGTGTGTTAGTGTGTGTACATGCATGTGTGTTGTGGATCACTTTTTGGCATATCTACTTTTTCTCTCTACACTTTTTCTTCCCTCTCTCACCAAAACTCCATTAACACTATTTTCCTAGAGCTTGATTTCACTTGCCATAGAAGGAAAAAAGGTCGGGGACACCAAGGGCTTCAAAACCCTTGCTTTTATTTCGAGATTGGAGCACTTTGGAGATTTTGTGTGAGCTATGGTGGGATTTGGAAAAAGTCACAACAGGATTTCTCATTCTCCGCCATCCTCTTCAATCCACGGCCTTGACTTTGCATTTGGAGCACTTTCATTTCGGAGGGATTTGGGGTTTTCACCCTGAAGTAAGGTAGGGGGTGTGTTGCATATTTAAATCTATGATTCCTTTGCGTTTTGTGGGTTTAGATTGTGTTGTGCATGCATATGTGTGTGTGAGTTGGATTAAAGGGTGTATTTAGTTTTGTAGTTACATGATATTATTATTCTAATGATTCTTTAAATTGAAATTCATGTATAGCATGCTTTATGGACTCATTATTGTAATTATCATTGATAGCCAAGGTGTTTACCCTTGTGTATGTGTGTTTTACCTCAATTGAATTGTTATAAATTCATGGAAATGCTTATGTGGCTATTTATTTACCTCTCTTTATGATATGGTGGTTTGGAAATGTGTGCTAATATGAAGTTGTTAGGCGGTTGTACTTTAATTATGTGATAAAATGCACGTGTGATAGCATTTGGATTTCTTATGATCAAATGCGTTATATTTGATGTCATTGCATTAATGAGTATTGCATGATAGTATTTGGACCTTAGGTCATGATTCGTGTGGATAACATCTCTTATGTGCGCTTATGAGGTGCAATGTGGTTATATATTGGTACATATTATGTTGTGGAATTGGATGATGATTTTGGGAATTACGCGGGGTTGTACTTTGAGAATGCGAGGGCTCGGCACTCGTGGGTGAAACATGAGTTTCCCCATTTTATATTGGCCAATTGGTTGGTTTCCGGCGGGTTCGTAACCCGAGAACAACTATTTATTTTAGGCGCATAGCATGGCTATGTCACCGGGAATGTAGGTGTGTTTCCGAGTTATCCCATTTGTTGATTTCAAATCTTATTTTCAAGTTGGCATCTATATGTAGTTGCGACTTGGTTTATCGTTTATATATCCAATTCCTTGTTTTGTTTTCAAGTTGGCATCCATGTGTATATGTGGCTTGTGTTGTTTACATTTCATTTTCTACATATATGCTTACTCAAGATGAAATGAACATGTCTATGTGCAATTGATAGCCTAGGATGATGTCTTAAGGACTATTTCGGAACTAGGCGTTAGGGAGCATGTCCCTTTGCATCGAATGGCACGGGCTACTCTTGTGAGGCCCAAAAGAATGTAATGTATTTACCTAGCATACTTCCTATTGGGCTACTCAGGTTAAAGGGGTTGTTATTGAGGATGCACACTCAAGGATATGTACTGTCATGCTATGCATAGCATTTAAGTTGTATTTTATATGAGACTAGTATATTTGGCTGCATATGTATTTAATAATGTTTTGGACTAAGTTGATGTAATGAGACCATAAGACCAATTCTTCAGTTGTATCATTTTCTTGACTCACATGTTGAGTTCGTTCGTGTTATTTCACTCACTAGAATAGTAGGACAGGATCAAGGTCTTGCCGGGCTTCCGTTTTGACATGAGATATTTAGGAGTTGCACCCCAAAGTTATTAGTTTAATACCTATGATTTTTTGTGACCTCATCATTTCATTCACATGGTAGGGCATTGCATGACAATTATTTGAAGCTTACGCATTGTGGACTCGGGTATTGGGTCTAATTCACTTTCATTTCAATCATGCACCGGGTCATCTAGATTCAGGAAGTGACAACGGTGGTGGTGCAAGTGAACAAACAGAGATGGCATCATGCTGCTTCAAAAGGTAATCCGGTGGAGGAATGAAAGCTTATACAGGTGAAATAGTGAAATTGGTGCGGCGTCTAAGGGAAATTGGTGAGGGCATGGAAATCCATGGTGGCAATTGCAGAGAATGGATGGCTGGCTAATCATGGTGTTACTTCCAAATGAAAAAATGCAATTAAAATTAAGTGACAATAATTGTAATTGTTTATACATAGTAGGCAGCAGGATTAGAGAACACAACATCCTCTAATTAATAAAGAGGCATTAGGGAAGACAGACACTGGGAAAAGGGGGCGGGCAGAGGAACTTAGGAGGAGGGCACAAAACAAGAAGTGAGGTACAATTCACTGACGAGCCCGCTGATGTTGAGAGTGCAGAATGTGGATCTAAGAGTGGTTAGACAACTGAAATCATCAGAAACTTCAACTACACACACGGCCACATATTGTTCATCTGGAACAGAAATCTCTTCCCTTGTCATAGAATCTTTTCCCGATTCCCATATAAGCAAATCAGAATGAAGATTCAGAGTCACCCCCGTACCACCTCAGACCCACTGGCGGCGATGTTAACTCTGGAAATCCAAGTGCCAGAGGAGTAGATATAGCAAATACACCCTCCTCCTCCTCCTCAGAACGAGGAGGCCATTCGACTGGGTACGCAACCAAGCCGCATTCTGTATAAGAATAAATCACACCGTCAACAAACTCAGCCTTTCCTGAGAAGGGGTAGTATTTTGTCTCTTGTGACACCACCAACTTCTCCCACTTGTTACTTGATGAATAAGTAGAAGCAGGGAATTTCCAGTAGAGAAATTCATTACCGGCACAACCACCATTCGCATTTGCAACCGAAATAACCAGAAAATTGTTAACCACCGCATAACCTGAGGAGGTAATTGTAATTGAAATTGTAACGAAGCAGAATTGAATGAAGCAGATTCCCATTCTAACGTTTTGCAGTTAAAGCACTCAAGTGTCGGTTGTGGGACCTTCACTGACGTCAACATACGTTGTCCGTAAACATAAAGTTTGCCACCAGCGGCCATGGCTGAAGGGAATGGCTTTGCTGCAAGCGGTGATGATGATGATGAATCCACCGGCAACCCGGTGAGTTGTTGAGTTAGAGTATTGAATATATGAAGCGGAGCCTGGGAGGAGTCTTTGCGGCGGCCCTTCCCCAGCCCAGAATGGGTACAAACTAAATATATATTATGATCCACCATGTCGCAAGCCACGTTTGAAAAACATGGAGGAGGAGATTCAAAATCAAGGTACTTCTCCCAATCAAACACATCAACTATTCGATCTTTAGCCTTGGTGTGATCCCCAATTACTTCTCCGTTCCTCCCGATTTCTATCTTAAATATTGCGGCCGAGTACGCAGAAGAATAATCCAATTGGCCAACGACGTACACTTCTGACCTTACATCCTCCTCCTCAACCACCACCGGCACCGGCGGTGCCTCCGTCGTCGTTAATTTGATCTTCTTCCTCCCTGATGTGACTTCCATCACGATGGAGATAACTTGAGATTTGTTAACTCAGCAAAAACAAAAGGAAGAAACGGATTGAGTGATAAAATAGAGGGATCGATCTGACGAACAAAGCAAAAGAAACCCTTAATTAAATAGAAGACACGTGAAACCCTAGATAATATAGGAGAGGAAGCCAATCTCGCTCTGTTTGGAACCAAATCCCGAAGGATTTGGATTTAAAATTGGAAAAGGAATTGGATTGGAATTAAAATGGAATTTCATTTGTGTTTGGAATGAAGTAAAATTTTAATTAAACGAATTACCTTTTTATGTTTGGATGCAAAAAAATGAATTGAAATGGAAATATTATTTTTTACCATTTTATTCTTACAGAGATATGTGTGTACGACATATATTGGTACTTAAACCATAATTTTTATTTATAATAATTTTGGCAACTTAAACAACATATTATGAAACAATATTTTAACATACTTCTTTTACTGTTAAAATTTTTATTACTATTATAAATATACATAAACATAAACATAAAATTATACGAACAATAATATGTATAATTACATGATGTTTTGTTACCATATGTATAAATATTTAGTAAAAGAGATAGGATTACGTAGGACGGGCGCAAATCCTTCCACCGCAAAATTAAAACTCAACCTCTATGTTTTCTTAGCTAGCTATATATATACACACACATCCATACATTTGTTGCTCCATCTCTTGATTGAAGAGATGAAGTCTCCGATATCGGTGGCCTACCTTAGTGCGAAAAAGATTGTGTATGTGCATAGTCAAATACTAAGAATAAGAGAGGAAGATTCGCACATCGGTAGGGTTTGAGCGCCAAAGATAAGCTCTCTGGTGACGATATAACCATCTATCTGATCTCTATTTCTCTGGTAGCTAAGTGGTATTGAAAAAAAATTGGGGTTGGGATTTTATCGTTGGTTTTCAATAGTGGACCAGTCAATTTGAATTTTAAAATTCTTTTCATTGATTAGTATGCAAGTATGAATAGGTTTTGTATGATTGAAATGATTTTATCATTGGTTTTCAATAGTGGACCTGTCAATTTTGAATTTTAAAGTTCTTCTGATTGATTATTATGCAAGTGTGAATAGGTTTAGTATGATTGAAATTGGGTTTTGCTTGATTGCTTTTTTATTTTTTATTTTTTTACTATTGTTTGGCTTCGAATTCGTTACATATTTCAGTTTTATTTGGACCATGGATTGTTGTACGGTAAGGTTTGGGATGGAGTGATAATCGTTTTTTCCTCAATTGTTGTCTTCAATGTTTCTAATTTTAACAATTTATTTTTCATGCGTGTTTGGGGCTTTGGGCTTGATTTTCATGAGTAATTTTTGATATTCCCTAATTATGTTAGGATTTTTAATGATCCATGGTTTCATGGAAGGTCTTTTGTGGAAACTTTTGGGTAGTGTTGAATGCTTAGAGGTACCGATTTACAAAGAAATTCAATAATTGAAGACTTATTGTAAAATGGTCAGTGGAATTTCTCTCCCGGCCGGTAGAGATTTTAGCATATCTTTCCAAATTCAGAGATCATTTGATGGAGGATTCTGTGGTATGGAAGTATGGGAATTTCAATTTCAAGGCAGTGTGGAATTAGTGCAGAGATTTGGGTACTAGAGTTGAATTTGGTGTGGAATTAGTGCAGAGATTTGGGTACTAGAGTTGAATTCGGTGTGGAATTGATACTGACCTAAAGTACAAGTAGCTTCTATGCTGGTTACACACAATGCTATTCCGTCATTTTGCAATTTAAAAAGGAGTGGTTTAGTCTTTCTTTTCATGTCTTGGAGTGAATGAATTTATGGGCTTAATTATGTGAATGGTTTCCTAAATGGTATGCTGTAAATTTATTTTTAGGTGTTCCAATTGTTATTTGGTGTCAGACTTAACATAAAATATTTGTAGTTTTTGCACAATCTATTACAATATATTCTAACATGAATAATATTGTATACATTAATGATTTTGAAAATTTAAGGCAAAGGATGTGGGTAAATTCATTTATTGATGGTTTAAGTGAGTTGTTCTATAAGATTGAGCGAAAAATACTAATTTTTTCATTGTTCTTGTATATAATTTTAATTTCTTTGTGGAAGTTATAAAGTTTATTTAATTGTGTGGATGACATTCCCTATCTCATTTATGATCTTATTTTTAAATTGAAATTTAAGAATTTCTTCTGCATTTAATTTTGATTATTTAGAGCACATTAAATTGTATCGAGTACCTCCACTTGTTTATCGTTCAATTTATTATTTATAACGACTTGAGCTCAGATAATAATTTATTCTATAAATTAGGCATCCTTCTCATTTAAAGGTCGTACAATTGTTTGTATATAGCAGACATGAGCTTAAAATGTGTCTAGTTTTTTAGTTTTCTATTTTTAATTTTGGGTCTAGAGTAAATGATTATTAGGATTGTAATTGAATGTTTGGAATGAGGATATCGAATATATAAAGAGATGTATTGATATAGATATATGTGTTTGCAGGTGGTCCAAGCGTTCATTAGTATAAGATTAAGCTAATAATTTTTATTTACATTGTTAGTTTTTAGTAAATGAAAGTAATTTTTTTCCTCTCCACTTTCTTTGTTGTGTCAACTTGCGTTGGCGAACTTTTTTCTAGGCATATTGTTTGGCAAAACTTGAGGCGGATTTGCATGGTTTGTGACTAATTCAAAAGAATCACAAAGTGGAGTAAAGTTCACAAGATGGTACTGTGATTATTTGGAATATCTGAAGGGAGAGAAATCTTAGATTACATGAGGATCAAACAAGGTCTGCTAGCTACTGATGAATATTTGGAAGCACACTCTGTATGGGGCTTGAGGATATGGAGTTGCTTTGAATTTCTTAATTCTGTTGTATTTATTCTTTTGGTTAGTTTTTTAAAAATATTGGTAGTTTATGTTTTGTAAAATTTTTCTTAGCTCTGTTTTCTGCTGTATTTTTTTTGTATCAATAAAACTCACCAGATTCAAGGGGAAAAAAAAGGTAGAATTTTGTATATTATCTAAAGTTAGCCCAAACAACTAACCTTGAAAATAAAATCATGGGTTTGAAGTTGAGGATAATGACTTTACGAACATCATGGTTTTGTGGTTAAAAAACAATACACATTTTATGAAAATCAATATATTGAGTTCAAAATTGTGACTCATTGTATTCTAGCAATATTTAGAAGCAAAGGGTCGAAAATATGTATTTTATGAAATCAACAAGGAAGGTGTCACATTCAAAGATTGAATACATTCCAAGATTTTCTCTGTTCTTTCACCCCCTTATTGTTAACACTTTAAGATAAATAATATGTTAAATTGAGTTAAATTTATGTGTGGCATTAGTTAATCGGCATTATGTGAATACCTTGTTTTGGAGGGGAAGGCGTTGAGTGAGCAAATTAACAAGTTTTTTTCGATAACATAATAGTAGGAAAGTAACATGAACTTTTTCGATAAACTTCATGGTTCACTTGTCCCTAACTAAATGTATGATTTTTTTTTTTTAGTACTTGGAATAATATAAAGGCCTTCGCTCTTTTCATTATTTTGAAAAACGTCGAGTATTTTGTTTGTTGTCTAATACATGTGTGAAGTAACATATTAAAAATTGTCCAAAAATACTATAATAGAAGCGAAAGTTTGTAAAAGCAATTCATATTATTCAATTAGAACAACCGTTGTCGAGATCGATAATTCATCGCGGTGATTCTTTTGGGAAAGGATTAAATTTTTGGTGAAATTTTGTAAAAGCATTTGCTATTGTTCATTTAGAATTGTCGAGATCAATGATTCATCTCTTTAATCCATGTAGCGAGATCAATGATTCATCTCTTTAATCCATGTAGGTAAGGGAAAATGTAATTTATGATTGAGATATGTCATGTGAAAACTATTGGAATAAAATTATAAGATATCCTTAAAGATGCATAATAAGAACACAAAATATAATGAATTGTGAAGTAATTAACATACTAAAAATTGTGCAAAAGTACTATGATACGGATGAAAGTTTGCAAAATTATTTCATATTCTCCATTTAGAACAACCGTTGTCGAGATTGATGATTTATCACAGTGATTCTTATAGGAAAGGATAAAATTTATTTAGTACAAATGGAAATAATTTGGATTGGAAACTTGTTACGTTAAAACCATTGTGTTATCGAAAAAAACTTGGCAAAGTTTTTTTATTAATTGCCATTTGCTCACTCACCACCTTCACCCTAAAAACAAGGTATTCACATAATACCGAATAACTAATGTCACACATAAATGTAACTCAATTTAATATATTATTGATGTTGTTATTTGAAGTTAAATTTTACTACAAAAAAATAGAGCATCCTAAAAATTACTTTCACATGTTAATTTAAAGAGTTTCATCCCAACGTTAGTCACTTGGGCTAACTTTAGACAACAAACAAAATATTTGATGTTTTCCAAAATAATGAAAAAGAGTAGCAACATTTTTTATTTTTTATTTTTTATTTTTTTCAAGTATTAAAAATGCATACATTTAGTTATTTTGTAAAAGTGAACCATGTAGTTCTTTGATAGAGATCCATTACTTTCAAACCATTGTGTTATCGAAAACAACTTAGTAAAGTTTGGTATTAATTGTCATTTGCTTACTCACCACCTTCTTATTATTATATTATCGAAAAAAACTTTGCAAAATTTGATATTAGTAGCCATTTTCTCACTCATCACCTTCACCCTCGTATTAAAATATTCACATAGTGCCGACTAACTAATGTCACACATAAATATAACTCAATTCAACATATTATCTATGTTGTTTTTTGAAGTTAAATTCTACAACAAAAAAATAGAGCATCCTAAAAATCACTGTCACATGTTAATTTAAAGAGTTCCATCCCAAGGTTAGTTGCTTGGGCTAACTTTAGACAATATACAAAATATTCGAAGTTTAGCAAAATAATTGAAAGAGCCACGACCATTTTTTCAAGTATTAAAAAATCATACATTTAGTTATTCTCTAAAGTGAACCATGGAGTTCTTTGACAGAGTTCATGTTACTTTGTACGGGCGCAAATCCCCTGCTGTCCCTAACCTTGCGATCCCCTGCAGTGCACTGCTTAATGCCGTGTTTGGCTTGAAACAACAAAAAAGTCAACTAACGGCACTGTAAACTTAACGCTAAAGTGCCAACTGTAAACCAAAAAGAAAAAAGAAAAAAAAGAAAGAAAATACGAAAAAGGAAAGTTGAAATAAGTTGAAAAATACAAAATTTGGCGCCCCCGCTTCTTCACTTTCCCTTTCCCTTTCTTCCCTTTTTGATTTCTTATTTCTCTCCTTCCCTTTTCGTTTTGTTCCATTATTTCTTTTTAATTTCTTTAATCCAAACCCTAATTCGTCTCTCCTTGTTCCATTAATATTGTGTATTTAACAGTATTGTTCAATTACAGTAAAATTTTTGTTTTGAACTGAATATTGTAGATTTAGAACTGAATTTATGACTCTTTCATTTGTCATCTGTCATTGTAGTGAATCTAAAATCTTTCATAATTAATTTTTTGAACTGAGTTGGCTTTATTAGGTACTAATGTGTTATCAAAAAATTTTGGTATTAAATGTATGCGGCAATTACATATTTAAGAGGTTATTATTTGATATTTATGACAAAAAAACATTGCAAAGTTTAATAAATTAGCACACTGATCACCTTCACCATTAAAATAAGGTATTCACACAGTACTGAATAACTTATGTCACACATAAATGTAAGAATTTATGATTCTTTCATTTGTCATCTGTTAGTGTAAATTATGATATTTTTTAGTTGAAAAATGACATTGGTTAAGCATTCTAATGAATCTAAAATATTGGATAATTGTAGGATTTTCTTCTATAATCTTCAATAAGTATTCTTTGTTAAGTTAAGTTTGACATCATTTTGTTGTTGGTTCCTTTGGAAAGCCCGGAATAAATTGTTTTTTAATGGGGAGGTGTGCACTCCTGTGTTTTGGCTACAATGGTTGATCAAAGGTTTTGGGAGTTCACTGATTGTCAATGAAGCTGTTAGATTATGTTAGCAGATCCTAAGTCACACGATTCTTCATCTACCTGATTCCCTCCCTTTGTTGGTGTTGTTAAATGCAATGTCGATACTTCTTTCTCATATTCAGCTGGGATGGGTGATGGGGAAGCTATTTTTCGTGATTCAGATGGCTCAATTCATTAGGCTGTTGTCTTCAAGCAATTCCCAGCTTCTTCTCCCTTGATTTCTGAGGCTAGGGCCTTCCGGCTTGTCGTCATGTGGGCTAGTGCGTTCTCCTTCCTACAGGTTTGGTTTGAGAGTGATTCCAAGCTTATTGTGGAACTTTGAATATGGGTAGCAGGTGGGCTTCTTTTCTTTCTCCATTATCTTTGACATCCGGCATGACCTCAGCCTTTTCTCTTGGGTTAAAGTTTCTTATGTCTGCAGACAAGGCAATAAGGTGGCCCATGCTCTTGCTTCACTCTCATCTTTGGCTATGCAAGCTGATGTTGTTCTCTCTCAATTTCCTCTTGAAGTGTTTCAGTTAGCAATGCTTGATCGTGGTTGGTTGGGTCATTTTCTTGATGAGAACCCTGGGGGCATTTTGGTGGTGTGCGCTATAATCATGTTTGTCAAGCTGCCGGAGGGAACAATTTGTACGCAGTTAGTGTTACTTCATGTTACAGCAATTACTGTTCCTTCTGCAGTTTTTATTTCCCCATCAAGTTAAAAGTGATTCTCGATTAATCATGGTGAAATGTGATTGCTAGGTTCAACTCAATGAACTTTTGATTGATCGTGGTTGCCTATGCCTTTGGTTCAACTTTATGATGCAATTTGTGCCTGGTGGTTAGTTGTCTACATATGCCATGGTTCCAATTATATATATATATATATATATATATATATTTTAGTTATGATGGGTGATTTTGTAATATTCAAGCACCATGAATTCTTCCTAGGTGCTAGAGACTAACTGAGGATTGTACATCCAATAGAGTTCAGATAGATTACATGAACAATGATGGATGAGTGAGAATCTTATGGCGATGATAGGGCAGCGGAATAGCGTGGAGCGCACAGTTAGCGTCAATGCTATGTTCATAGAAATAGTGAATCAAGTATGGGAAATATACAGAAATCGTATTCTCGGAGAAAAACATGTTAACGTCATGTTGCAACGTGCAGGGTGCTTCAAAATGTGTGAAGTACCCTTGTCAGAGTTGAGAAGATTTGCATGTGGTTTATAGATATTTATATATTTTTCTGCTGTGTATAGAAAGGGAAGATCATGTTCACAATCTACCATAAGTTCCAAGGGATAGTGGTTCTGTGTTACTTTCTTTGTGGGGATATTTTAAAACTAGTTGGAGGACTCATTACGGAGATGCTATGCTATGTAAGCATGTTCTAGTCTAAAATATAGAACAAGAAAAATCAGAAACTTTAACTATTCACCTCTCTGCAAAAGACTTCAAGATTGGATGAATATAACACCTTGATACGTTGATGTGCTCACCTGAGTCCAGGTGATGTAGTCCCCTGTGCATGAGCTTTATGAGAGCTTTGTGTGAATAGTGTCTACTCCAACCGAGAATTGATTTCCTCATCTATTACTTCATGTTAAAGAAGTGTGAAGGATTTATTTAGCTAAGCTCCGGGGGGCTTCTCTCTGTATGAACTTCCCCTATCCTGAAAAGGTCTCAAATGCAGAGGTTTCAGACAATGGTACTCTCTTTTGAAATTCTACGAAACTTTACAGGAGGGTTTCAGCAGAATTTTGTTTTGGCACTGAGGTTTCCTTCTGAACTTTATCCGTGTTTGGAAGGTCCACATAATTCTGAGTTGTTAGATCGATGTTGATTTAAGTTTGCAGATCATTGACCAATTTGCAGCACTTTTGATGTGCATTTAAGCTATGCTGTTACCCTAAATTTTGCTTCAGTAATGGACTTGACAACCACTGCCCATTAATTGCTTCTTACTTACCAAATCACTAAATAAC